CAGTTTTTAAGTCCAAACGGATTTCTACAAGGGAAAATACATTAGCTCTAAAGTGAGAATTTCTCGTTACAGATGTAAAAGCAACCTCACTTTAAAACATGAGTTTAAAAAGTCATTAGTTCCCAAGAGCATATTCAGATTCAGAAAGATGTCTGAATTTCTACATACACTGTATGCAGTGAAAAAGATGACTTCTAAATATGATTTAACTGACACGCCAATGCAAAACTCTGGTTGAATGTATCATAAAAACCCACTTCATCTTTTGCAAGCGTTGTACCCATTGTAGCACTTCAGCATAAATCCCAATCCAGCCTTCCTCTCAGGCCCCGTTGGCCTGACCTGATGTTAGGCTGGGACATTATTGGAGATACTGTAATAGATACTTCCAGGCAGGGAAGGGAAAGATGAAAACATGAAGGAAATGTCAGTTTGATGGGAACAGTATTTTGGGGGGGTTTGCAACATTAAAGTAGGCAGAAAGTTTTACAGAAACTACTTAGTACTTAGTGTGTGTGTGTATATATATATATATGTACACAGGTATATATATATACACATAATTTCTGGGAGCTTGAGTTGAATATATAGATTACCTCCCTGTGCATCTTATCTAGTTATATATACTGTCCATATATGATAAACAACAAGCAACCATATGACGTGACATCCACTGAAAGACTTAATATTTTATATCTTCTGTTTTCTTAAAATTGCAACAGACAGAAGTTGTAGCAGACTTGTACAGTGCTGTTCTTGCAACAAACTACACTATTTCCTTCCTTGAAAGCAGGGTATAAGCCCATACATTTTCTACCAATCAGCTCGTAATCCTTGTGTTGACCGTAGTAAGCTGAAAACTATTTCTAGCCGTCTGTCTCTTCTTCTCTGGCTGTAGGCATGCAGCAGTGCCTTGATAATAAGGCTCAGTCTTGATTTTCTCAATTCCCTTATGTCAGCCAGCCTCCCATAGGAAGACAATCAGGGATAAGAAATTAAAGGTGAGAGTACTGTGAACAGCAGTGACTAAGGATGAAGGTCATGTCCTTGTTTCTGAAGGAAAAAGAGCCAACCTTCACTACTATCCCTAAGTTTATTTACTTAAATTTTGAACACTTCTACTCAAAGAAACTACATATTTCTACTGTAATCTAGTCACTGTAGAAATTAGTTTGGTCCACTAACTATACTTTTACGGTTGTTCATTTAGTGCCAGTCTGTTCCAGCATGTTCTTCCCTACA